ATCTTGAGTCAATTGAAGCTAGACCACCATGGAAACCCTGGACGGCCGTTTCGTCCTTAAGATTTCAGGTCAATCAGGTAGCAAAATCGAAAGGTTTGGTTGACTATAGTTTGTCACGAGAACTATGTACTGACAATAAATTAATTTGAAGAGGCAAAGGGCTTACACAGTTCTTAACCGTTATAATATTTTCTCAAACTGTCGAAACAAAGTTATGTTTATTTATTTATTTGAACACATAAGTATTGGTACAAGGGGACACCAAATACAATGCGCCACACAATAACAATGAGGCCAGTAGTAGTTATCATTGATTTGTGTGAGGACTATGATACTCCCCAAATGTCCAAATCGAAGCAGTTGGTTTTATTAGGGGGCCACACCCCGAGTCTTTGACTTACAGGTCAAATCTAGAAGGCAATGAAGAAGTGTTAGGAGATGCAGTCCCATAATATCTGGTGAACACCAATATGTTCATACGCAATTTGTTCCCTCAGAATTCTGCAGTCTATGTACACAATTGTTTTGGAATCAGAGTTTTCCATCTAACCTAGATGGACTCTCTGAGTCCATCAATCTGGTTAAAACTTCGGAAATTCGCTTTTCGTCCTCTCAATTTCGTAAACAACACTCACTGTAAGGCAGTGTGTAGGGTCTCCCTGGTAGTAGCTGTATACGCTTTGCCAAGTGAGAGCACTTCCAGAGGGAGAGCTGACTCTCCCCACCCTCGGCCGTACCAGGGCATCCGAAGTTATGTTGTGAGGATATTACTTGGTGGAAATTTCTCTCTTTACAATTAATTAATTACCAAGGACAGATTCGTGTGCTACGGTCTGAGTGAGGGACAGTTGTACTACCAGGTTCTCCTAATTGAATCACGTGGAGAAGAAGACGAACCTTCGACTTAGTGAGTGAAAATCGAACGCCTTAACCACAAAGTCACAGTTTCACTGTGACGTCACGTTTGACTTTTTATTTAACATGACGCATACAAACATAGTATGTTGATAAAAAGGGAAATACTCCACTTTATTATCTATTTTAGTCTTTGGGTATCGATTCATCCAGTGTCTCTTCCTCTTTAGTATTTTGAAAATGTCTTTATAGTAAGTCGATTCGATATATCTACACACGTATTCACAATTTATTTTCCTCTAAATCTCGGATATACTGTTGTATCGTATATCTCATTTAGAATTTCCTTCAGTCTTTATGAATTATATTCTCTATGTTTAGTTTATTAGCATAAATAATATACGTTAGACACTATGTATTTCATCTCCTTACACTGATGTGAACTATGATAACTTATACCTCAGTGAATACTTCCGAAGCTTTCGAAACAAGCCACGAACAATGAAATTCACAATCGATTCGTTTCACAAAAGACATCAGAAACGATTGTTTTAAACCTATATTCATATATTTATTTATTTAAACACATAAATATCAGTACAAAACGACACCAAAACGAATGTGCGCAACACAAAAACGGAACTGAAATTGTAAAGACGTAGATAAACGGAGAGTATAACCAAAATAAACAAATGAACAAGAATGGTTTGTGGCAGGACAACTCTGCTTGAAAAATATGACCACGGAGATTCCTTTTACTTAAAGGAATACTTTCACTTTTGTAAAGGATGTAAAAAGAAAATACAGCAGGACCGCCAATGACTTCTATTCTGAGCCACTGAGTTCCACGATCAGGACGAAACCCAACTTTAGACTCTTAGTGCTTTAGGCACAGAAAAGTCAACAGGACCGGATGAACTACACCCAAAACCCTGAGACGAATCGCACAATATATTGCAGCCCCACTGACTGTCACTTGGCCAAGGTGAGTTACCTACCTGGAAGGATACAAATTTCATTCCCATACATAAAACAGGATCTAGACAACTCCCACCAAACTACGTGTCGTAGTAAAAATACTGGAAAGAATCATCAGAAAGACTATAATGACATTCGTGTATACAAACAACTTGATTAATAACGAACAACATGGCTTCAGAAAAAGGTCTATCTTTTTGATGGAGTTTTGTTCTCTGAGCTGGATGGTTTGGTCGTGGAGCTTTCATCGTTCTTCTGAACGACATCATCAGCACAAATTTCAGGTAGAAGTGAAGTGTTCGAATTTCTCCACATGTGGTTCACAGCATGTCATGTACACCTCGATGTTGATTGGTTCTTGTTGACCTTAAACCTGTCATTGTTGACTTCTTTGTTTTGGTTGTATCTCCCATTGGTTTGATTTTTGTTCCTATTTACAGAACAAAAAAACATCATCAAAACCACCCACCTGAGCTACAAATCTTCTCCACCATCTCAAGGTTTATCTTGCAAGATAAATGGATAGAGGCTCTAGATAATGGAAAATCAGTATATGTTGTCTAAAAAGATTTCAGAAAAGCATTTGATAAGGTGCCAACAAAGTAGACTACTCTTGAAGCTGGAAAATCTAGGCATTGCCTGACGTCTCATAAAGAGGTGACCTGATTTTGTTGCATAGAATACTAAGAATTTATTTCGAACTTATCCTCTTTTTCTTCCAACTAGATCGGGACATCTCAGATAACATAGCAGGCGAGTAGAAATGTCAAGAACGAACAAAATACAGGTGGCGTACAGGTTTTCATACCGAGTCATCAATGCTTGGAACCTGTTACCCGAAGCAGTGGTGTCCGCGCTTTCAATTGACTCATTCAAGAGAAGACTAGACACTCAAAGAAGCACACCAGAAAGGAATAACATACGCTACAGGCTTTCTGTCCTTACTACACAAATCCGAATACATTTCCTGCGACTGTATTTCAAGGGCTTTGAATAAACTGGAAATTGTGACGAAAGCAGATAGTTCGGAAGCGTCTTTCTTCTGGTGACAATTGTCCTGAAGAAACCCAACACATTACATAATATCGGCTTTTACGGACTCAATGAATTTTGTTAGGCTATTTCCCAGTCATGTCGTTTAACTGTCTCGCTTTGAGCACTAACACTAACTTCATTCAGAAACATACGTTAAATACCTGTTCTTGAAGTATATTATTCGGTGAGACTATAATTCCTGGACGACCTTTGAGCGACTCTAGACTGACCTTGAGTGTCCATCTAATAATCAGGACCAAATGAGGGTTATAGTCCTGTGTGAGGAATCAGAATTATGATTTACAATTGACGATTAAGGTTAGAAATTAGATTTAAAGTTTTCATCACGAACTGACATCAGCTATACTGCCAAAACTATATTTACCCAAGTGGATGAGTGAATTTCGTGCCGAAATCCGAGACCTGTTTTCTTATGCGTGGTTGGTTAGATCATAAAATATAGACTCACCCCTATTTTTCTGAGTTCAAAATAACTTGTATAATCAGTATACTTATTGACATAAACGAGGATTAAGACGGGTGCACGAATAAGTTTTGTATCTAAAACTTAGTGGAAAAGAGGTAAAGCTAAGTCAAGTGTAGCGATCCGTATTTAAAATATCGGCGGACTAATAAAAAGTTTAAAAACATAAAATAGTGCAGGGAACAAACACTACTTAGAAATTAAAAACTCACATATCAGATGAACTAACTACTTTATCAGTAAACAAATGATTCTAATTCTAGGCTTTAGGTACCCTTCCTTAAGTGGACATGGAAGTGATTCATATAAAAATAGAAATTAGGATAATCCCTACTAAAGTGAAGTCTCAAGCAATCATACTTTACTTTTACTAAATGGACAAGATATTAACAAGTAAGCAGACTATGTTGGTGAAAATACTGCTGAATTAAAATGACACTATTGGATGGGGACCTGTTACAAAACACATGAAATAGCTTAAATTATTAACAACTACTCAACGCTTTTTCTTTAAGTTTAGTTGCTTAATCAAGTTACATGATAGCCTAAGGAAACACGTTAAATTACTTATGATTACCATTAGTGCTTCGTGTACTCACGGCAAATTAGTACATGTATAGATAAGTCTAAAATAATATATTCAGTTGTCTTTCAATTACAGACGGTATTCTAGCAGTTTTGGGATAAGTGCTAGATAAGATTTTACTGCTGGGTATCTGTACTTAGTCGTTAACAGACTATCTTACATGCTTAAAGCTTTTGTTGCTAAACTACCTAACTCATGGTACGAAATTACATCACTTCATCTAACTATGCATAACCTGTACATAAACAGTAACTAGCAATAAACTCGGCTACTAATTTACATAAACTTTTTGGTTGCCGTTAGGAAATAGCAACATACGTAACCAGTGATTGCCTTCATACAAATGAAACCAACTACAAATAGTTTCTTTGTTAACTTGACAATGTCTACAATAACAAGAAAGTTCAAAGAAATATGATAACTGATAAAGCAGTTCATACTAAATTATAATGCAAGTCATTTACATAAAAATATACTCAACTCCGAATTGCACTTTTTGTGAGAACACCAGCGGTACAACTTCGCTATCCAAACTGAGGCAGATGGAGTAATGCTCGAAATTGAGACTTGACAGCGAAAAATTAGATAGTTTAATCACTGAGTCACAGTTCTACAGTAGTCTATGTGCAAACAGTAGAAAATATCACACTACACAACCACGTTTTTATATCACGCACTATGGAGAAACAAAATTAATACCAAGAATTATCTAGACGGGACCAAGTACTTTGACCTTAAGGATATTGGAAAGATCACTGACACAGTTATTATGGCTTAGATGATTGGTATAATGAATATGAGAATGATAAGTACTCAGTCGAAATACACAAGTACAATTACCATTAAGTTATAAAGATGAATAAATCCTTCAGAATAAAGGTCAGTCAAAGCGAAATATAGTCAGACAAAAAGTATTTCTAATACATTGTACAGAACGATTATATTGGCATTTCAGGATAATACTAAAATAATACCAACTGTGTTATCCATAATTGTTTTATCATAAAAGAAATGTGTACACATGTTATGTGGATAAGAACAACGCTTCCCACATACACACCATTATTTGTCAGTCTTCTTTCTTGATGAATCTAACCCATTTGATTTTGCTCCATTTTCCACTTTTCCATTATCTAGGTTGTCAGATTTATGCGTAGCACGCTTACTTTGATCAACAGAACCAATAGAAACTTTTTTCGACTCTGTATTACCACCCAAGCCTTCTTCATTTCTCTCAGTTTCACGATTCGTTAATTTATTACTAATTAGATCGTGTAAAGCAAGTATTGCTCTAATTATAGCAGCGACATAAATAACAAGCATTTGGTCGTTAGTATTAACGTGAATTGCACGGACTGTATCATGCAGTTTGAGATCAGGAAGCAGATTGAAAATATCTTGCAACTGGTATATTATACGATGGTTAACAGGAAGCTTGTCAGAAGAAACCAACTGCAAGTACTCACGAATTTCATATAACTGTCGTAATAAACCGGATAATCCATCTAACTGACAACCGATTCTTTGTGATAAAGAACCAAGTGATGTATCCTTAATATCCCTGTAAATGAAAAATTAACAATAGAAAGTTAGTTGTTTAATGTCTAAAAAAAATGAACATTCAATCAAATCTCATGAAATAAATTAGGGTACCTCTTCATAAAGAAAGTTTCTGGACTGTTGTAATGCTCAAAAAGTAAAACTGAACATCTTAGTATGTTTTGACATCAAATATTCCTTATGCATTCATTACTAACATATTTACGATTAATTTTACAACTCAACTATCACAAAGGTTTGGGCCGGTTGGTGCTCTTCAGTACGGTTTATCTATAATCTTTAAGGAACTATTATTCCCAAACCTATATCACCTAGTGAAACAATCAGAAATGTTACTACAGAACGATTCGGTCATTGCGTACAGAGATGTTTTATAGACCCTGAAGTTATGGAATGTTCCATGTTTAGTTAAATGGCTGATTAGTAAAAATACATTACACCAAATCTCATCAGTTGAGGAGTTTGTGATTCTGCATAGACTGAGATGGTTGGGTCACGTATTACTCATACCCAACTACCGATTACCATGACGCGCAACGCTGACTAGTGTTGGAGACAGACGGAAAAACGTTAGGGGCAGACAAACTAAAACGTGGCATCAGTCCATATAGTCATTAACTTCCGGTTTGAACCAAGTTGGTAGATGCAGACTACTTGGTTGTGATCCGCGCGACTATCGAAACCAGTGATTAGAGACTGAGTGACATGGCTCAGAATCGACCACAATGTTGTAGGTGTATGCAGTCTCTGACTTCCCTTAAATTGTGAGATAAAAAGATCTTGCCTTCTACGAACTAATTCTTTCTCCTTGTATCATATCCCTATATGAAATCTTTTTTCATTATCATTGAAGTAACTACTATAAAATTAGGTGTTCGTTTTGTGCTAATGAGGTATGGCAACTTGAACTGACACATACGTGTGCCTGGTCCTGCGTTGTAGCTGACTGACTGACATTACATCCAACTGCAAATAAATATCGAAGGCTTTATGCTATGAAATTATTAGGATTATTATAATCTCACCGCAGTAAGTGTTCAACACCAACTTCTTCAGCTTCTTCAGCATCTACTTCTGATCGAAGATGATCAAAAGATTTCGTTGTTGGTGATCCATCCTTTAATAATAAATAATAAAGTTGTGAAAAAAATAGTAGTCTAGTAATGTACACCAATAGGTTAATTTCTGTATATACCATATTATATTTTCTCCTATTGGACTACACATAGGAAGCTAAATGAATTACTGTAGTTAATTTCTGAAATCGAATAAATAAATATCAAGTACATTCAAAAAAACAATTTGACAAAGTACACCAAGATTTGAATTTGGTCTTGCCTATTTAACCATCAAACAGTATTAAAAGGTAAAGATAGTTATGACCAAACACAAAACTAAATCGAAAAAGCGGTTCATGGTTTGCCTACAAAAAGTAACATGAAAATTTCAGGACTGAAATGTTTTTTTTAGAGTGGGAAATTCAAGAAGTTTACGGCCACAATTTGTATGAGGGCCAGTAACCTGCAGCGTAAAGTAGGGTTAGTGATATACATATATAGCTCACTCTGTAGAATTCGATAATTTAGCAACTTAACGGCAACCATCGTACAAATCGTGTAAATGGTCTCAGAGGATAGACGTTATATGAAAACAACACGGTCGAAACGCCTACTTAATGATATTATCTAGTTGCACAGACTAAATTAGTATTTATATCATTACACGCGACAAGAGGATAAAGAAGATTAGTACAAAGCCTTATGACAGAATATACGCTTGTAAATATACTCCAAACATCAGTTGTTTGTATAAAACAACTGTATTCGACATACAAATACCTCTACGTCACAGTACTTTCTCCTTTATATAGTAAAGAGTGGTACGACAGTTTTCAAAGACAGAACTACACATAACAACAAGAGCTGAAAATAATGGTTGGTATTCTAGTTAGCAAGGGAAAGTACTTAGTGCGAGCTTATATAAACGTACGATAACTTACATCGTGAACTTCTTCAACCGCGATATAAGCCTCAGTGGGTAGCCCATCAATTTCTTTCCTTCTGACATCAACAACTACCAGAACTGAGTTCGGAGCATATTTCCGGAAAAGTTCGTTAATTTTAATATCGTTTGTACAAAGCTTAGGACCGGAGTGATACCAACCCACAATCTTTTCTCGAGCTATACCGGAATAGACTTATTGTAAAACGGTTACCGTTAACTTTTTTAAACATGGTAAACATGCTTTCCAAATAATCGTGGTCGAGAAACCAAACATCCGGATCAGTGGCATCTTCTTCGAAAGGAACTAAGACAGTAAGCTAGCCACGAAAACTGTACCTGCAAAGCTATTGCTGACATCCAAAATGCTTCCATTTAATGAGCCCAAAAGAACACCTACAACTCTCTTCTGACCACTGGTGACTTTTCCAGATCGACTATAGTGATCAACAACTCCCAATAATACGAGTGGATGGACCACGACCTTTTTAATTTTAGTTTGACTGGGTGTTTTCTTTTTCCCAGATTCATTTGCGTCACTATCCAAAGTCTAGAAGTAATTCATCAAAGTAAGACATTAATTACCATACTGACAGAGCACAACAACTTAATTAGCCGCGAAGATATTTGAAGGACATAAGGAAGGTTATACTCAAAACCCTGATTTCAATATCCAACATATATATATATAGACCAACAGATTTATTTTCCCCAGCTACTTCGTGTATCTTTCCATAGTGGTACCCTTAGTTGCACTAGTATTATTGAATTTGATAGTTTTTTGAAGGTCGGTTTGTCAAAGTTGATGTATGTTTGTTGTACGCAGTCGTGATGATGAAATCAGCACGTATCATGCAACATGAATATAGACAAAATGACTGTAATTTTAAAGATAGAATGAGGTAGGATAGTGAAGATAAGTGGATCCTGAGTTTACAAACAGACTTATCAACTGATCAAAAAAATAAGAAAATGTGTAAGCACATAATTCAGATATGATGAGGAATCAATAACAAGTAGATAAATTCCAGAAAATTATTCACACACGACAAATCAGTGGGAAAACTCCTTAGTATGTAGTGTAACATTATCGCGTTAATTCTTATTCTTTCATAACCAAAGAAGTACAATCTCAAGTGGTGACTGTGTTCCTTTTTTATCATACTTGAAGCATATGGTTCCAGGTGGTTTCAAGAGGTTTTGAACAGAATGGAAGAAGCTTTCGCTTAGCTAGCTTCCGTATCTAGAGGCAGTGGATCTCCAATACCTACAAGTATGAACCTAGATATATTTATCGATAAGAGCGAAAAGTGTTGGTAAATCATAATGAGATACTCTCCTTAGTCCTTAAGAATATGTCAGGTTCCCTCTACAAGAAGACCTGTGACTTTGCTTTGACTAGCTCATCTGACAGCGAATTCCAGAATTTGACTACTCTGTAGGAGCTCCTACAGTCCGTTCTGCTATGTCGTATCTTCAGCATGTGGGTGCTAGCCCTAGGGTTTGTGTTGGGACTAAGCCTAAGTGGATATCAAAGACAATGCTTTGAAGTGTTTAAGATGCTTTAAGTCATTAGGTCACCTCTGAGATGTCTATTCTTCAAGGGATAAAGATTCAGTAGTTGGAGTAGCGCTTCATAAGACTTGGGTTTGTGTTCCTGAATTGATGTATTGGCTCATTGTTGGATACATTCTATTATGTCCTTATCCTTTTGGAGTGACGGAGGAAACATTAAGTTTCCTCACTGTAAATGAAGTCAAATAAAACTGTTGAGCAATAAATGTAAAATTTTACCATCGAACTCTTTTCTTTACTTCACCGTGCATCTTTGCTTGTTTATCTGTTTCTAGACTGCCTATTTTCAGGGTTGTAGACAACTATTTTCACAGACGTGTCAAAAAATGATGATGATCAGCAAATCATCAGCATTCATGTTGCATGTGCCACATGACCACCTGCGATCTGACTTACTAAGTCTGCCGACAACTGAAAGGAAGTTATAATAAAAGACATTAACTATCGAAATCAAATGAAAGAAGTTAATTACGTGCCATACAGAAGAGTAAACATTGTAACCGTTGTTCTCTATTCACTTCTAAAGAGATCATGAGCTGTTTGAGGCTGAAGTAGGTTCTCTTCATCTCACATTATAATGTAGCGTGGAGTGGAGTCGAGAGTGACTATGAACACCGCTACAGAGAAACGCGTGCAAAGTAAATCCATAAAATCTCCCGGAAGCCAAATATCAGAAGGCAGTTAATGGACCAAATCGAGATATATTCACTGGCGATCTCGTGGTATCGAAAAAATACCGAGGTCGTGCCAGGATACAAGCTTGGTTACAGAATGTAACCGAATTCGCGCGAGTTCACAATCAAAGTGTAAGTAGAATAATGGAAGCACAATATAGCTGTCACTAGCACAGTCAAACAAAGAGCACATTAAACAAGCACAGGTACAATTGGTTATAATAATAATAATAATTGTTTCCACTAAACCAATCGTATTCTCGTGATAAAAGTGAGTCACTACAAAAGCCCCCCGCTAGAAAGGGTTTACACCTTCGATAAGTAGCGGTTTGATTCGTGGGACTGGTCGGCTGACGAAAGATTGTAGGACGAAAGAATTGGCGAACAGGAAGCGATCATTGATCCTCGAGTTGCCAACGAAGGTCTTTTTCGGAGAACGGTACCAGGAGCGACGTGCTGTATTTGTTGCTCGAGTTAACATACCATGTCATAGTGGTTTGTATCCAGAATCTGAAGATTGCGTTCGTAGGGATGCGAACCAGAAACGCTGCAGACGTAGAACGAAACCACGTTGAGCCGAGGAACCAGAAGCGACCAAGTTCGGGACCAAGCGTATGTCAAACATTCGAAACCAAAATATCGACTGAGTGCGTTGACAAGAGCGTGGGTGATCAGGCCAGCTTTCGCCAAAGTTGACTGAAGTCGGCGGTACCAAACGAGGATGGTCGGAGGCGTTGGCTCAGGAAACAAAAAGAAAATCAAAAAGGAGAAGGGTGTAGCATGCATGTAGTATAGGAACAATCCTGCACCGTATCGGTTGTTGACTGTACGACTATTCGCGGGAGCGTACGGGTAGATGTACTCGGCGACCGGAACGTATGACAGCAGTCTCGTTCGTATCGCGCGAGCCTACAATCTCATCCGAGGTCAGAGGCGGTGTGTTCTGCTGATCTGGACGTGAGATTGTCGTCTCGTCCTTAGACGGTGCAGATGACGCGTGCTGTTGACCGGGACGTGAGAATGAAGTCTCAGATGTACCTAGCGTGGGACGTGAAAAAGATTTAAGGATCCCGCTAGGTTTGATAGATCCAGCATTGAATCTCAGTGTATCAGATAGGGCACTGTCATCGACGTGTGCTGGTTTGAGACGATCAATGCTGACGATCTCGACGCGGCCATGTCGATCAACCTTGAAGGTCTTTTCGTGACGAGCGATCACGTGAAAAGGGCCTTCGTAAGGTTGTTGCCAAGATTTGCGTACCGAATCTACTCGCATGAAAACATGTGAACAGGTAGATAACTCTCGAGGGAGAGCGACCTGTCAATGTTGTATTCGAGTTGACACCAGAGACAGCGCTCGTATAAATGCAGACGGTCGATGGACGTAGTCTGATTTACCAAAATTGGGTCTGCTCCGTGGTGTAAAGAATTCTCCGGGCAGACGCAATGTCATGCCGTATACAAGTTCAGCGGCGGAACATTGAATATCTGCGTTCAAGCTCGTTCTGATGCCTAAGAGAACGGGCGGTAAGGTTTCGTACCAGTTGCCGTTTACGTGTGCTTGTAGAGCACTTTTAATTTGGCAGTGAAACCGTTCAACATAACCATTTGGTGCTGGGTGGTAGACGGTAATGCGTATGCGTATGTATTCAGCACCAAGCAGCCGGGTCAGCGAGAAGAATAGTTAATAGGGTAACATTTCTCGAATAAAGCGTGGAATTCATCATCACGCGAATAAAAAGTGACAAGGATTCAGTACACATACGTGTGAGTCTATTATATTAATACTATTCTTATCGTTATCCGTCATGTCGCGTACATTATATATTAAAAAATATGAAAACATACGACTTACGTGGATAGATAAAACATAGACTCACCCAATTGGCTTCTTTGGTAGATTTGACCCGAGTTTGAGGCGTGTTCCAAAATTTGGCTCACCAGTTGTAGCGTGGGGTCGAGTTGAGATTAACTGTGAACACCGCAACCAAGAAACACGTGCCATGTAAATCAGAAGGCGAAGGTTGAACGTAACCAAATTTATTTCGTTGGCCATCTCGTGGTATTGAACGAATACCAAGATCGTGCCAAGGAATGGTTCAAGTGGAAGCAGGAGAAAGGAGTACGTGAGAACAGTACCAAAAGCCGCGGAACAATGATGTAAGGTAATGGACCAAATCGAGATATATTCACTGGCGATCTCGTGGTATCGAAAAAATACCGAGGTCGTGCCAGGATACAAGCTTGGTTACAGAATGTAACCGAATTCGCGCGAGTTCACAATCAAAGTGTAAGTAGAATAATGGAAGCACAATATAGCTGTCACTAGCACAGTCAAACAAAGAGCATATTAAAAAAGCACAGGTACAATTGGTTATTATAATAATAGTTTTCACTAAACCAATCGTATTCTCGTGATAAAAGTGAGTCACTACAATAGTTTCTTTCGAGAAATCCGATACACGTGTGACGAAACCGATTAGGATAAATAACTGCTTTGTTCCCGTATTTTGATATTTTGAACTTCGCGAATTTAGAATAACTTTAACGGCTCTTCAACGTACAAACGGATGTAGGTCCTAATTAATGTCAAAGACAGATCTACCTATAAACCTAGCAGTCTGTTAATGAAGTCAACGATACCATAAACAATAAATAAGTCCACAAGAACATTATCTTTTGTGTCTATTATTCTGTTTGCAAGATTTTTGTCACATCTCAGTTTCTGTAGCTTTCCTAATACTTATCCAGATATCATTTGAGAAATGTCTCATTCTCCAATCAACTCAGAAACAGCTGATGTTATTTGCTGACTGAATTATTGCCTCACTAATTCTTCAACGTACTGAAGAACTCGAAGATCTTATGGTTATTATTATTCACAAACATCTTATGGGTACATAAGTGTTGTGAAGAAACCATTTCGGGTTTCTTCAAAAAATGCAATAATACACAATTTTCAATAATGCCAGCATTCTACTTGCCATTTAAAAAATTTTTTTTTGAACAATAATAGTAGAATATTAATAATAATAAATCGAGTGTGTGTAATTAACAATATTGAATTGAGTCTAAAGAAGGAAATGCAGAAAATAAGGGAATAGAAATAAAGGAGACATGAAATACGCAAACATTCTAATAGGCGTGTTTACGAACACGGAACAAGAATAAACGACTGTGTGTATCGTTAAATTAGTAACAAAAAATAATTAAGAAAAAACAACTTATAATTGCAGTAAGATATGACGCTAGAATAAATGTTTGTGCAGTTATAGTTTAGAGTGATGCTATGAAAGTTACAATTAAATGAAAAGGATAATAAAATATCAATATGTATGA